GTCTGTTGATCGACTGTACTCAAAGTTGAATTACTTTGACATCCAGATTCTTTCTTAAACACTTTTCTAGAATCATTACTCACGTCAATCAAAAGTAGGACATCAACAGATTCATGACCCTCATTCATATCACTAAAGTTCGAACATCACAGCTGTCTGACATATTGATAAGTCAGCGTTGACCTTTACTGACGATAATTCATTTGGCAACAACTCACTCAAAATTCTGGGGTTTCTCTTCTCTTGGGGCCCAAAAAAAATAGACAGAAGATTTATTATCAGCAGACGAGACGGAAAAAACTGGAGAACGTAAACTTAAACACTACCTTTCTCCTTAACTTGAAGATGACTGATTCACGAAGCGAACAGCGTTCGACAAAATTCCGTCATCAATTTAATAACTATAGCAAAAGAAATAAATGATCATAACCAAACTGTGCTTTGTTCTCTATTAATTTAGTGCTATATTATCTTAGCGATGGAGTGATGCAAGCCAAAAAAAAGTAATACAAATAAACAGACATCAATGAGTCGAGTTGCCCATCTCCGAAAATATTTTGTTTTGAAGAACTGCACCTCTTCGGTGTAAACAACTCATGGAAGGTTATATTCTAAACTAGAGCAGCGTAGAAACCTCAAATTAAGATAAAAGAACAGAAATAAACTAAAACAAACAAACAAAGAATAAAAACTAAATCATATTATGTGACAGATGCATGCTCCGGAAACGTAAACAGGGTTGATTTCTAATATTGAGGTCATTGTGGTCGCTTTTTTTCACAAACATTAAACCTGTTGCTACGATTCAAGAATCGAAGTGGTGCTTTTCCCTGAGGGTCCGAGGTGGAAATAAAAATAGCACCTCTTATCTCCGCTATGTGTAACAAAGGCTGATAGCGTGATCGATAAAAGGCAGAAGCTGTGGCGCTCAAGTGAGGCCAGATTCTGTATTCGAATCATTCAATTGCACGGTAATTTGATCAGGGCAAAGAGCACCCAGGTATAATCATATGCAGACCCTAAATGGATTCCCTCTTTTATATTTTGTCACACCCCTTTATTCTTACGCAAGATTGACTTGTTCTCTTACAAGGAGACTTTTTATGTTATCAGGATCCTTCATATACACCTATTTCTTCAAATGTTTCAACATAGCACCTATAAATAAGAAAATGTATGCAATAAAAATATTAGCATCCGGTTTAACTTGAAATCAGGGAAAGTCCCGCTACAAAGGGTTCAAAGGCCACAGGGAAATATCATGTTTGCTCACCCATATACACTCTCAAACGAGTTCTAGGTTTTAGTTGAATTTTATTTTGTAACATTTTGAACAATTTTTAATGATACCAATTTATGAAATATCCATTTAACTCATGACATCAAAGCTGTCTTAGATTAGATTCAAACATACAGAAGACATCAATCTAAGCCAAGACGAGGTAAAACCTCTCAAAAGGAGATTAAACTGATAAGAGCGTGGAATATTATCTCAGAAAGAAAGTGATCAATCGTTAGAATTGGTAAGGGCTATCTACGTCTTTATTTCACTTAGAAATACATGTAAGATGCCATAAGAGAGCCTACATGAGAAAAACAGGCGGTAACAGGCAGAGGGTGATAACGCTAAACAACTGATCTGAGTCAACCCTGGTGCATTTTTAAATATTACTTACTTAAAGAGGTCGAAGATTAGTTGTTGGTTTTCATGGCCAAAATGGGTTAGGATTGCACCTATAACAACATCTAATAAACAAATAAAATAGAAATGAAATTACTATCGACGCCTTTATGAATTTCAAAACGTTATAAGCCTGCGGCTCATCATCAAGATACATCACTCCAGCGAAACGTTGTTGCGGAAGTTAGTCGAAGAGCCTGGGATCCGACATCACAATGTGTCATTCAAGCGATATATCGCTTCAGTGTTTTACTGTTTGATGAGAAATGCAAAGCGAGCTCATACGAAGTTTCTAACATTTAATTTGTCTGTGTACTTGCTGATTGCGTCTTGATACTTAAAGCAACATACAGCGTGGTGAGATCGAGTATTTGAGTCACAAAGGGAAACTTTTATTTGTTGCAACCGTCGACAAGACCGCTCTAAGCGTCTCCTATGACTCCGGTCATAAAGTTGGATATAAGAGACACAGGATAGAAATAAGAGGAAGGGAGGCTGGGAGGGGGAGCAATGGTTATGATGGAAATCTGGGATGTTCTGCTGATGGGAGTTAGGCCGAACAACATAAGTAAAGACCCTCTCATGCTCTATATATCTCATTCATTTTTTTTTGTTTATTTTCAAAGTGAACTGAGGTTAAAAGTACCCATTTTCATACCAACTAGCCTGTCTCTGGCTAATAAGTAAATACCTATTATAATTCGCTCAGTTGAGAATTTCACTTCCTGGTACTTATTCGGTCAGTAATTAACTGCGATATAGATATATGTACTATGCAACATGTAACTGCACGGACTTATACGATCGGTTGTGTAGACTGACTTGTCTGTTTCACGCTCTTATTTGATTGTTCTAAACATAACATCCTGTCAATTGTCAATTGCACGCACTTATTCAGTCCGTCCTACCACTTGGTACTAAACATAAGTTTGGTATTGCGTAATTGATATTTAAATTGATAAAACAGACTTTTTTAGAGCGAGATCATCCTGAACATATGTATATATAAACGGTATCCTTATAACGAAAGTTCACTGTTTCATCAAAAGTAATAATCTACTGTTGGTTAGATGTGGTTTAACTGCTGAGTTTTCAGTAAGCTTAGTAATTAACTATGAATTTCCTTTAACTTGAACGGAAACACCGAGTCAAATATAGCTTTATTGCAACTGCTACTATCACTAACACTATAATTACTGTGATTTGCGTTACTATTACAAGCAACAAGACATCAGAGACATCAGTGTTTGAGGGTTTTCTGATGTCAGTAAACAGTCGTGTGCTGCACACCACAATTACATACTCAAAGTGATAACAATGGTGATAGGTACCATAAGGACAGTCAAGCACATCTTTCTCGCTTCCCTCGCAGTAAACATGATCTCTATGGAAAGGACCGGAGCTTCGCCCGTATTGCTCGCCACGCTGCGCGTGTTTTGCAACTTTTATGAAGCCTAACTGATGGTAGACGACATTTGCATCCAAGATGTCCCACGTGTGGTCACATATAATTCCCCATTGGCCCCCTACTAAAACTTCAACACGGCCATAGTTGTGTGAACCTCCCGCCAACTGAAAAGTATTGGAACCATGGGTGCACCGCACGCTAACGTCTCGTTTATAAGTGCAGTCGTGTTTTCCCCATTCGTCATGAGTGCATTCGTGGAGATATTTTTCATCAGGGGAGCAAGGCCGATGCCGACGTGTTTTGCAGACAACTTGGCTTCAAAGAAGAAGCCGCACAACCTTGTAAGGACGCTACTCATGGCAAAGGAAGCGGACCTATTTGGCTTGACCACTTGGTTTGTTCAGGAAATTTTCCACCAATGTTTCTGGATCTTGCTATCTATTGCTCTTCCTTTTACTACACAGAAATTTGAACTTGGGAACAATTCCTGCAGGGGGTATCGTTTATGGTGATGTATTCCGCTCTGTTTGTTCTCCTATGGCCATTTCACTCGAAATGTGCGTTTTTCGACAAATCTGATGGCATCTTCAGTGATAGAAAACCCTCTTATAAAGGCCATCGTTTGACAGTGAGGTCTTAAGCAGGTCTTTGGTGGACTCAAAGGTGTGCAATAATTGCTATAATCGCTACATATATTACTGTGGCGATCGGTGCTGTGAAATCAAAGAAAGTTAGGTTCAGAAATAGGGCTTTCGCTGATATGTCAATCCGTCATATATCCCACATACCTTGATCATTGTGTAAATAAAAGTTAATAAAGCATAAGTAGCTGGAAGAAAATCAAGGATAAGAATGTCTCGAATATTTACTTCGAGAGCTTCATCAATGAGATCTGTGTGAGATTCATACTTCGACGACAAAGGAAACAAAAAGTGAAACTCTGGTTAGCTTAAACGCTTAGTCTAAACGCTAGATCGCAAGAAGGCAAAAGAGGAAAACATTGTAATGCAGGTGTATTAAACAAATGTCAAAGACCTACCCCCACAGGGTTATACCGGTTCCTGCTAAGCCTGGAGCACATCTACATCTATAGGTACCAAGAATATTCTTGCAGGTGGCATTGACATAGCAAGTTGACGCAATCTTTTTGCTGTTGCATTCGTTTACATCTGTTTTGCATTGGAAAAGAAAAAAAAAGACTTTGCAAACCATTCCTACAGCATATTCATATCTCAAGGACGTAGTCGACTTTGTCCGCCGATGTTGCTTTCTGTTGTATTCAAGTCATACATATCAAATACACTCAATCTGACTCGATTCGTCTACGGTAATTGACAAATCGACACACCAGAAATCGAATCATGGGTCTTAGGGGTCGAATCGTCCGATTTAAGTGAAATCGAGTCAATTCGATAACAGTTTAGCCCTCTCTCGTAGTAAGCTGTAGAACATTTGTAAGTGACTTCCGGTATGACATTTCTATCTCAAGAGGAACTCTTTTATTCAGATGACCGTAATAAGCTCGATTCGAAGCTTGACTTAAACGAATCGTATCAATTTGGGTATATTGGACAACCTTCTTCCAAGTGACGAGAGATTAATTTTCTTTCTGACATCAAATGTTGAAATAACCTACCTAGGTGTTGAAAATCGCGACGCACCATAGAATAAGTTTTAGATAAAATCTAGATACCTGTACGGTAGTTAGTGATTTTATCCAAATTGAATCCTTTGTTACAAATGCATTTGTAGTGGCCAATAACATTTACGCATTGAGAATAGGGTGGACAGTGATAATTTTGGTCAGCTCATTCATCATAATCTGCAAAAGAAAACAAAAACAAAATGGTGATTCCGTTTCTTTTTAAGGTGATGGCAGGTGAAATAAAAATTATGGCAAAACTTAATTTTTCAATGAAGCATAACAGTTACTGCACAATTCCCTCGATGTCCCGTGAGATAAAAATTAGCTATATGGTACTTCATGTTCTTTGAGGCACTAAACTCTCTTGCAGGTAAATCGGTGACAATCAGTACAGTTACGTCATTCCATCCGTAATGATGATTTTTGAGGAAGCCAAGAGTATGAACACAATCTTCATTGCCATAGTTGTTTGGTTGGCCCTCTGCCCAACGCCTAAATTTGGATTTGCTCTTATCGCTCCACACAAAATTCCCTTCAGAGCTGATATCATTGAGCCCCAACCAGGAATGCTCTCCACCATGCAGACTTTGAACAAAAACGTTTTCTTCTTGGTTACGTATGCTGGGAAGGTCAGCTTGCTTACGGCGACAAGCTCTATCGCTGTTGTCCCAGTTGTCGCATGCAGCCACTTCACTGTAGCAATAGTTATCGAAATAGTGCCAGTCGTCTTTGCAAATGCTGTCTGTAAGATAAACACGAGTTACGGTTTTTTTTTTCTTTTTTGAATTAATTTTAGTCATACTCTTACAACTATTTAGTTCTTAGGTCGTGGAAAGAACGATGAAGGGCTTATTTTCTTGGAGTTTTTTTTCCCTATAAAAGGTGAAGAATGATTCTTCAGCTGTAAGTCTAGTGTTATCTTTCCTACTCTTTATGTTCTCCTTTATTTGCAAGTATACTTATGTAATTTTTTTCCTTCTGAATGTGATGCGTTCCATGTATAATGAGAAACGCTCGAGATGTTCAAATATATTGCTAATTGAAGACCTTGCATGCGCTGCAAGTTGTTAAGCTGATAGGATCTGAGATTAGGTTATTCATACCTCCCAGCACCGCATATGAAATGTTCAGTGGGTCAAAGCGTTCCACATACAGTTCTTTAACTCAAATGCGGAATGCCTTTTCTGTGATAGACTGAAACAAAAATGTATTTTTTTATGATAGAATTAAGAGCGTGTCCACGAGAGTACCAGGCAGTCGTACTACATGCCATCACACCGATTTCAATGAAACTTTGCCAGTTTAAAGGGTCTACCCCAAACTCAAAAAGACAAACTGGTTTCTGTTTTGGTTTTTTTCCGGGGGGAGATAGACCACCCCCGGTTTTTCTTGGTTTTCACCAAGGATATCAATTCAGAATAGGTAAAATGTATGAAGCTCTCACTGCGATGGTACTCAACCAATTACTATGAGGGTTGGCACACATATTTTTACATCCTTAGTTAATATCCGCCGCAAGTATTGGTCAATTTGAATGACGGCTTGTTAATCAACAGAGGCAAATAAACGACTTTGTTTTTAGACTTTTCGATTCATCCAAATATTTGACAACTTTGAGGTCAAATATCTCCCTTTACCAGAAAGCTACAACAATAATCTTGATTCCTCTTAATAACCCATCATTTCATCTCTGAAAATCATCAAAAAATCTTTGGGCACTACAGTATATTTGTCTTGGATGCCTTTTAAAATCTGCAACTGTGACAAGTTTCTCTCAACTACACCTGTCACGCAATTCTAGCTGCAGGCGGTCACTTGACCAAATAAACCAACACTTTTTTAGCTCTTTATACAAGATGATTGATGAAGAAAGATAAAAAATGTGTAAAACTATCGAGATTTTTTGTAGGAATGGAAAATTTCCCGTTTAGAGAGATGCATGTAGGCGAAAAATCTATGGGAAAATCGAAGCGTTTCTCTCTTCTGTCGTTTATTACTTCGAAGATTTGCTAAAATCAGGAAATAGGGCTCTTGTACGGAACAAAACATTCATTAGTCTATAATTTGATTGTCTATTATCATTATCGCACAGTTCACAATAAGGAAACTGTAACAGGAGAGGAGATTTTAAAGTTGCATGTTGCATACTTGTTTAAGTAAAAGCTTTTGTGTGTAACAACTTCGGCTCTTCCAAACCGTGGATGACAGGAAACTCTGCCCCCCCTAATTTGATAGGAATTCCACGCAGAAATAGTATTCGTAGCCTGTCTGCGTGACCTTTCATGAGAAGTAAAAATTGCCGATCTCTTTTTTTTCAAGAAGACACTTCTGAAAAGTTCTTAATCCTTCTGTTATCTTATTTGCCAGTTTTTTGACTGCAAATATCATCTGTATTTGCTATTATTTCTGCTGATTGTCATGGCCTTTCCTGCGTGCACGTGCGAGCCAGTTCATTTCGAGTTTCTTTGCGTGGTGTCGGGCTTAGGTGTGTAGGTCTGGCTCAAAAGATATCTGCACGCTGCAGCACGGGTTCCAATGTTTTCTCTTTTTTCTTTATTTGTATTTTTATTCTCTTCCTTGCATTATCACACATGTATCTTTTTTTTATTCCCTCAGCGCGTTCTCTTAGATTTGAAAGTAGGCTGTGAAAAGTCAACATTGAGCAGAACTGAAACCTTTTCTATCACTATTTGTTTCAAAGAACTCCTGTTTTTCATAACTCTATTTCTCAAGAGAACGTGTTTTTATTTGCTATTTATTTCCATTAGAACATGAAACTAGGTCCTGATAAGTTTTTTGTTTCGTGACTCCCACAAACTGTGTTTGCGACAACATCAATTGAGAAATCAAAGGCAATTACGCCCGAGAAATTCGCTTTTAGCCTTCTACCCACAGAAGGCAAATCCATGTAATGAAGCGTTTTAAAACCTCTGTAAACTAGAGACATTACGTGATGTTGAAGAGTCAAATATTTACACTAAATCCGTGACCCTCAAACGGATCACGTACTCGTACATGTAACGTCCGAAAAATGTCACGCATGTATAACACCGTAGGCGAATTCTATCCACTGGCTGCAATGGTAAAGAGACAACTGCAACTTATTTACTATTTGTTTATAAGCAAGCTAATTTATCCTACTTGTAAAACTCTTTGATGAAGTCTACTATTGTTAGACGAAACGCGTGGGAGATAAATACAAGTTTTTACTTTCTCAGTTCGCGCAGTGATGCTCACTAGTTTGTTCCGTCAAAAATGCTTTTAATGGCGAAAACTTGAGCACTTGGTAAAACACCTTGACTTGGCAGCTCTGGTGATTACAGTTTGCTGAGGTAAGTGAGATGTTAGTCTCCATGCAGGAATCTTCCACATGACCTGTAAAGTCGTATGCTATGAGATAACTTTAGAAAAATTTATTTTTTTGGAGACAAAAATTAATGATTTCCTGTTAGCATGAATGTTTGGGAGAAGTTATGGTGGTAATTGACCCTTTTTTTTCTAGGATGAATAGTGTCTGATGATTGCAATGTCTATCATTTAGCTTTAAAAACTTTCAACTTTGTATTAATTGAAACTTTTTACCATATCTATTTCTCTTTACCTTAAGCCCTAAAAAAGTTGAAACAGGTGAGTCAATAACCTGACTTCCTCTGTTTCGGATTGTGTGATCATATAATTTTGCTGTGTAAGCTGCCACATTGTAATATGTAATATTATTATTTAACTTGCATTAAACACTCTTGCTTAAGTTTTCTTTAATGCATGGCGTTCCTTACTACCCAACTACTACCCAACTACTACCCAACTAAACATTGATATAAGGAATTACAAGATATGTGAGTTTTAAACGGTGGAAATCTGGAAAAACATGGATCCTCCTTTAATAAAGTCTGAAATTAATGGAGGGCCCTCCTATTTTAATTCATGTTTTAACCATGACCTGCCTCCACCCCTGTGATGTTCAGAGTACATAGATGAAGAAAACATTTTTTTGTATTTTCGACGCATGAAGGTAAAGTAATTGGCGTCCACTTAATGCGCAAAGCAAGAATATAAATGCCTTAGCTTTAAGATTTTAAAATTTAAAATAAGAGAATTGTGCTGACCATATCTTACTTTTTATCCTCCTCTGGATATTTATTGAAATAACGTAGACACTATCAGTCTCATTCACTCTCACTTTCCACTGAGCTTGTGGAAAGATGATAACCTTAGTATTTTTTTAAATGAAGAAAGGAAAGCCTTCCCCTTTTACCACAGATAGTTCTTTTGGGCATCATCAGTACAAACCTGGTCTAATTTGTACAAGAAGGTGATTTTTCCAGGAAGGCTAACCTTAAAAATTAGTTGTAAACATTTCTTGAACCTGTCGTTGTATGTTTTGAATGTTTGACTCAATTTTACCTTACTAACCTACACTGCATAAATAGAACCTAGTATCAGTTAATATTCATGTAACTAAAACATTTACATGAAATTTTGCAGATGTATGGCACATTTCTTCCTCTGATCCACCTAACATTTTAATATGTGAAAGGACTGGTATTGGCTATAAACGTTTAGTCAAATTAAAGTTTTGTACATAGCCAAAGCATCAGATTTATGCGATAAAATATTGTATCCTTCTTAAAACTAGTTTATCAGAATAAGAATGAGTTATCAGGCATCAGTGAATGAGATATCATCAGTTATGGCTTCACAATGATAGTTTCCAAGTTCGAAAAGAGTCATTGCCCACTAAAATCCTCAGTTCCTTTACCCTGACAGCCGAACCTCATCAAACCATTGCCAACAGGAGCGATTAGCAGATTAATGATACAGAAAAGAGAGCCTGTTCCCACATACACCCTCCTCAATCCGTGGCCAGTTAGCTAATAAATTGGACATGGCATTTCAAAAATGGCACAAACACGCCACAAGTTTTCTATTCCCCTGAATAATTATTTTGTAATAGTGTTTATAAGTTGTGGAAAATGGTTGGGTTGAAATGTAATACAAAGACTTGTCAGTAGATAGTCAAATGAAAACGTTTTACATATCAATAAAATTTATTGTTGCATTTCATGTTAATATGTTGCAACAACTCCACTTTCCAGTAAATTCAATTATTTTCAAACATGAGAAAAACCATCTAAAACTTTTCAACCTATTTAATGTAGCCAATAACACATCAACTGCAAAATGAAATCCAGTTATTATCTTGAGCCTTCTACAAATGGTCGAATCCTAGGTCTCTCTTCGTGATAGAGTTTTAATTACGATATTCTAGTTCTAGCTTATCTTCCTTTAAAATAAAACTTTCGCAGTGTCAGACAAATTTCGTTTTTCAGTAGCTAGAGTTGCAAAATCATGGACAGTTGACTTCCATAAGATATAGATTTTTCTACAAACAAAATAAGAGTTTGTAGGCAGCTAAGAGTGATCGACTAGCGATTTTTTTTTTCCAATTGGTTTCCAATTTTTATTCATTTCAAAGTGAACTGAATCCCCAGAAACGTCACGAGTGGCACGTGTCAAGGCTCGTTTTGTTCTCGTTTTTAGCTATTATCCATATGCTGATTGCAAGCTTCCCACACAGTTGTGCTCTCATTATCGAGGAGAGCTGCTGTGTTTTCAGTAATGTTTGTTATTAACTATGAAATTCTTTCTACCCGAACGGAAACGACGAATCACATATAGTTTTACCACTACAGCTATTACAACTAATACTACAATTAGTCCGACCTGAACCACTATTACAGGTAAAAGGACATCCATGACCTCAGTGTTAGAAGGTGTCTTAATATCAGTTAACGTTCAATTATGACAAACAACACTTGCATCTTCAGAGTGCCAGCAATGATGAGATGGACAGTGTGGGCAGTCCAGCAAAGATTCTTCGTTCCCCTCGCAATAGACATGGCTTCTTTGGATGGGACCGGAGCCTTGTCCGTATGCTGCGCCTCGAGGTGCAGAGGTCGCACCTTTGAAACCGAGCTGACGGCAGACGACCTTTGCATCATTGGTGTCCCAGGTGTGATCACAGATAGTGCCCCATTGGCCTCCAACTAAAACTTCAACGCGGCCATAATTGTGGGATCCACCCGCTAGCCGAATGATGGAAGAGCCATATGTACACTTCACGCTGGCGTCTCGTCCATGCGTGCAGTCATGCTTTCCCCATCCTCGATGCCTGCAGTCGTGGAGATTTTTCTCACTCCCTGAGCAAGCCAAATCGTCAAGCCAAATTGGTCCGCTTCCTTGGCCATGATAAGCGCTTCTGTAAGCTTGCAAGGCTTGTTTGAAGCCAAGCTGTCTGCATATCACGTGAGCATCGTTCAGGTCCCAAGCATCATCGCAGATGGTCCCCCATTTGCCATCGTAGAAAACCTCTACTCTTCCAGTTGATGGGCTGGTGCTATTTATACGTACGCTGCCATCAGTAATTGCTGGCAAAAAAAATTAAATTTTTTTTTTTGAGGTGAATACAGACTAAATAAACTTAAAATATTAACTGCCTCCCTTTCTGGCTGTCTTTTTATTATCATTACAATTATTGTATTATTTAATTTTTTACACCTTTTCCTCAAGGGGACATCATTTGCAATAATGTGAGAACTTTCCCTATGGCCATTTTACGCGTAATTTATCTTTTTTTGACAAATTCAATGGCATTGCGCCAGTCGATAAAGTCCGGGTATTAAATTTGGATGTAAAAGAGTATAATAGAATGGGGTGATAACGCTATCAGTTCGATTGCACAAAAAAAGAAGTTCCTGAGTACACAAAACTTTGATTCATTACCGAGATCCGAAATGAAATTCCTCTAAATAGTATCCATAAATTTTTGCTATTATAACAATCTTGTCTTTCTGGCAACAAAATATTCCCTGATGAAGCTTGGTTTGTGAGTCAAAGAAAATTTGCGATTGACTTTCTGATTAAACAAGAAATTGTTGTGTGGAAACAACAACATAGTCTACATAATGAGGCGCTGAGGTCTTTCTGAAGGGTCTCCTTCTAAGTCAATCCCATGAAATTGCTTAGTTACTGCGAAGGAAATAGTATAATTGAGAGTAAAAAAAGAGTAAAAGAAATCATAACTTTTCCTTACCTCGATAACGAGCCCGAAATCCTGCAAATTCTTTCGAGATATCTGACGTAAACCTCACGTAAAGGTTGTTGGACGTGCTTGTCAAAGATTGCTTGGGCAAAGTGTTTCCAAATAAAGTACCAATCAAAGGAGAAGAACGTGATACACCATCGTACACAGTGACGATATCGACCTTATCCTCAGTTTTTAAGCGAATAAAAACAAGTTCAATATGTCCATTTGAGGTTATATTCCATGTACAGTCCATGTCACTTTTGTAGGTTTCCACATGACCAGGTACAGGGGCATCATTGGACTCGATATAGCCAGTTGAATCTGACTGCCATACAGTTAAATTGGTACAAGAAGATATTACGGTGGCGTTCGGTGCTGTGGAGTTAATAAATGAAAACAAGTTTAGGATATAAGACTTCGCCGCTTACATTTCAATATATTCAATACAAAAATTAAGTTTATCAGTGTGAGAATAGTTCAATCTTTCTATCAGTAAAGAGTAACTGTAAAAGTTTTACTGTTTATGCCGATGACACGCAACTAATCTGCTGAGAAACAGAGACCAAACTCGTCGATAACAAAAGTGTGAAAGTTAAGTTTGAAAAAAACAACAACAACAGCAAACAAAAAATAAAAACAAAAGGTAGTAGGGGCGTTTAATTACTTTGCAGAAACTTACCACCACAGGTTTTACCGGTTCCTGCTAAGCCTGGAGCACATCGACATCTATAGGTACCAGGAATATTCTCGCAGCGAGCTTTGACATGGCATGTGTAGGTTCCCAAGCGGCATTCATCCATATCTGTTTCGTATTAAAAGAATAAGAAAACGGCTTTTCACTGAGATATACAGATATAGATATGAGTTTTCTGATTTATTCCAAAGATCAGTCACTTCGATTCTATCCCTTTATGTCAAACACTGAAGTTAACTTTCGAGGGGGTAAGAAAGGTAAATGAAATGAACGTACCCTTTTTAAAATATGAAATTCTAAGGCAGCATATTTTATAATTTATTATCAGCTAATGTATCTATTTATTGTTAAAATTAACAAACCTTCGCAGTCCTTGTTGGCATCCAAACGGTATGAAAGGTGAATGAAACAAACGCACTCTCTTTTTAAATATGAAATTCTAAGACAGCATATTTTATAAGTACTTATTAATTATTATATCTATTTATTGTTAAAATTAACAAACCTTCACAGTCCTTGTTGGCATCCAAACGGAAACCCTTATTACACTTGCAGGTGTATGAGCCATCACTGTTAATGCAATGAGAATCTGCTGGACAGTGATAATTATAGTCGATACATTCATCATAATCTGAAAAAAAGATTGTTAAAAAGCATATAGGTGGTTATTTGGTAGGTTATTTTGCTGATCACATCTCGTCAAACAAAGGAAAATTTTATGTACTCGAAATTGTTTTTACAGCTATTCAAAACGAAACAAAGCATCTAGCGTAATTTTCTCCCGCTCTTTTGTTAACTACTACAATACACTATACCATCCAATCTTCATTTAAACGTTCAAATAAAAACGGCCAGATCTGCCATATGCACACTCATTTTACTAACCTTTCTTGCAGGTAAATCTGTGACAATCAGTGCAGTTCACGTCATTCCATTCGTAGTGATGGTTTTTGAGGAAGCCAAGAGTATGAACACAGTCTTCATTGCCATAGTTGTTTGGTTGGCCCTTCGCCCAGTTCTTAAATTTAAATGTGCTCCCATCGCTCCACACGAACTTCCCTTCTGAGTTGATATCAGTGAGCCCTAGCCAAGAGTGCTCTCCGCCATGCAGACTCTGGACATAAACGTTTTCTTCCTGACTGTGTATGCTTGGAAGGTTAGCTCCCTGCGTGGCGCATTTTCCTTGGCTGCTGCCCCACGAATCACATGCAGCCACTTGTCTATAGCAATACCCTCTGAAATAATTCCAGTCGTCGTCACAAATGCTGTCTGTGAAATAAACACAATGGGCTAGTTTTTTCGTTTATTCATTTACTTTTTTAACTTTGTAAAGTTTTATTGCTCGGAACACCCGAAACTTCAATCAGCACGGGGAGAGCAACTCACGAGAAGTTTAAAGCAGGTAATAAATCTCACCTCCCATCACAGCATATGAGACGTTCAAAGGGTCAAACCGTTGCACGTAGAGCTCTTTGACACAAATTCGAAATCCAGACGTTGTGATAGACTTAGAAGCAAAAAGGAAACAAACTGTTTGGTTAGCGAATCTATGTAATTATTCTAAAGATTCGTGATTCAAGATTAAGAACTATAAATAAAAAATATTCCCAGTAAATGCAAGATTAACGCCTCAAAACCTTAGCAAACGTTTAGGCAAAGTATCGTCTGGTTTTCTAAAAGAATATCAGATTATATCGGGACAAAGACTAGGAAAGTAAACCATGCCGACGCGTTAATATCTGCTTTCCTATTGTGGAAGATAATGATGATGGAAAAAGCCGCGGCTTAACAAACCGTTTTCCAGGAAATGTTGTTACCTCAATCCAGCTTACGATTCCATTGCATTCCGCAGCAGCATTTCCTCCACCAGTAGAATGCTTGGAAGTGACCAGCACCGTTGGTGGGTAGGTATAAGCCGATCGAGAGTAGGTCACATCCTTTATATGGATCAGTGTAAGTAAATATGATCAGTCAATAAGTTAATCAAGAGATTAACCAACTATTCACCAATGGAATATTTTAATTACCAAGGTAATCACTGAGATAGCTTTAACTGATGTAAATTTAATGAAATCAAAACAATTAGTCAAAGGCGAATTTGTGTGTCTTGGCTCTTTGCATATATCATGGCCCTCATGTGGATCATGTCTATACATCACAGGTGCATATCATAAAAGTGCTTCGTTGAATGTCGCAAAAACTGAACAGCTCCTAGTCCGGTAAAAAACCCTGAGGAGCTTATAAAATGTCCAAACAACATCCTGCGAAAAGTCAAGAGTACTGGATAACTCATGATTGGCTCGAATTTTGTATCCAATTAGCTCATCAGAAAGGGGTAAATTTGTTAATAAATCACTTGTAAAAAAAGAAAAAGAAAAGTGAGAAGAAGAAGAACAAAAACTGCAACTGGGGATTACTATAGTTGAAACTTGATACAATTTTTTTCTATCAGTGCTACACTCATCCAAAAACAAACTACATTGTTACTCTTTTGAAGAGACGCAACACCTACCTTACAGAAAGCGTAGTTGTATTTTATTGATGGCAAACCAGAGTTGGGAAAGCTGACAACGCTGCTCTCTTTGAACACTGGCCTTGGTGTTTTGCCAAATGCCAACCAATTCTAAGACAAATATATAATTAATAAGTTGCGAGAAAAGAGAATAGTGTTCAGCTAAATCATGTCAAACTAAAGTTTTTAAATAGGCTGGTCTTAAACTAGTGTCCGACTTGCAGGGGAATGGCAGGTTGCGTTATTTCATAAATTGTTCTCTCTAAGTTTTGCATTGCCAAGTATAAACAAGAAATTCAAAATTCAAATTCATTCACCGATAAAAATTTTTTTTAGTCTAAATTTTTTTTACTTCCCATTGCAAAGTGCCATGATTGCATGGAAATGATATCCTTTCGTTATTATTATCTCTCCTTGTCATTACGTGTGATGTTAGTAAGAGTCATACTTATGGGCGGTAGCTGGATGAGGGTTTCAATTTCAGTAAATTTTACAAAATTCACGGGAACTTGACAAAACCTACCACTGAAATATCATCATGAACTCCTGCAAAGTTTTGAAGCTCCCTGAGGCAGATCTTAAAAGAATTTGTAGAAACATCCTCAAGCCACACAGAGGTAGCATCGTGCATGAGACTTGATCTGTAATGCACAGCTGTTGCAAAGATCGACGGTGGCTCAGAATACTTCCCCTAAATTTATGGAAAAGAATACCTTTTTGAATTAGAGGGAAAACCAATAATGCACAATATAAACTCGTTCACTCGACCTCCTTGAGGCCAATTTCTGTCATCGGAATATATGGTTTCTTGGATTAACGAAGTGAATGGAGACTATGAAAAGCTTATTCTTTAGGAAGTGCAGTAAACTAGTCGACATCACGCGCTTGAAATCTATAAAAATGTGCCCTCCACTGGTTTTTATTGAAAATATTGCTTCCAAGATGTGCTGAGTACCTATCAGATAATCCAATAGCTTGAGGTAGAATTCTATGAGATAGTGAATCATCACAAGGAAAGACTGTTTGAAACCGGACATTTTTGTCCATAAGTAAGACATAAGGAGAGTCTTATGCGACTCCATATAATCTCATACAAAAATTACAGAGTAGTGCATACATTTGGAAAAGTGACTGTTCTGCAGCTAGTTCCAGTCCACCAAGTTAAGAACATCTCCTCTCCTGCTATTCCTCCAGGTGGCGCTCCCTGATAGGCCACCCAGTCTATTAAAGCGAAGCTGTCTGCGGGGTAGTCATTCCTTCCGGCTCGCGTAACGCAGGCCGTGAACTGAGTGGTGTTAATGCTCTCGACCCAAGGCGTGGTAGCTTCGTGTACCAACGTGTCATCAGAATAGTTGAAGTGGTTAACAGTGAGTTGTACGTATATTTTCATATGAGGATAGAATATGAACGGTTTAAACTTGATTACATCACACTGATCTTCGGCCCACGAAGGTGTATTTTGGAATTCGTGTCTTCCTTTCTGCATTGGGAAACCTAAAATGGAATTTTGATGGATCTGCTAAGTTTAAGAAGTGAAGCATGTAACAGCAGCATGTTTGTTTGCAGTTCTAAGTAACAGACTTTTTTGTTTGTTCATCATGATAGAAAAATTAGGCCATCAAACAAACAAAATATACAACGAAAGTACAAAACAAAACAACAACAAACTCGAAAAATTAACCCTATGACGTTCTTATAGTCTTGCCCTTAGTGCCATTTTAGCACAAAATTGCATTGCACACAGCAAATTCTATTTGGTTTTTAGGTCGTTATGAAAGAAACTTCGAATTCAAACAGAAATTAGTTGTTTAGTGTGAAGTGGTGGAAATTTCACATGCGAAGAAAACTGATATTAACACAAAAAGCATGTAAAGAAATATGTCGGGAAGAACATGGTATATTTCGGATGACTTCAACTAACAGACGAACAGGTAATCTTAGTAATGCTCATTACCTCTGCAGCTCCCAGGGTGATAGTTCGTGTAATTTCCACGTGTTTCGCAAATTTTTTTCTTGAGGAAACACATGTTCTTGAAAGTTCGACCATTTGAAGCACAGACCTGTTCCTCGTATGATGGGCAATCATCTTTGCAGATGCAAGCATACTTCCAGGGAGTATAAGCGTAACAGAAGCTTTCGTAAGTGCAGTTAATATCTCTACATGGATCAAGATCTGAAAATAGAGAATAATGACAAATTAACTCATATATTTTCAAGCATAAAGGGATATAAATAGAAAGCAAGAAAAATTACAGGGTAACAATATGAGGCAGTCAAGAATTGTGGATAAAAGGGTGTGTGGAATGCAGAGTTTGACTACACGATCGAAAAAAGGGAAGAACAATTGCAAGAGCAGATAAATAGAAAGAAATTTTAAAAAGGTAAAACAAAACTAACAATACTTATGATTGACAAAATTATTTCAGGTACAAAAAAATTGAAAATAATATAAAATCAATGGTATTTCATGCAACAGAAATGCTTGTCCTCTCCGATAACGAGGCACATGATAATACTAAGATCCTGCACTCAGATGAATTTTTTGTTAGACATAAACTGACAACTGAGAACTACAGTGTAGGCCCTTGCATCTCACTATTTGCATCTTTAAAAAAATGAATAAATGAATATCGTTCGGAAAATAATTGGTTGCTTATCAAGAAACCGTTTTTCTTTATTACCTCCAATAACGAAGTAGTCTATTTCCACATCGCTTCTTTGGCGACCATATGCTGTGTGGTCTTTCATACAAATTCGGAAGTGAGTCTTAGTCACCTCCTAAGACAGAGGAAAATAAAATAAACGCAAAATGATGAAGCGCATTCGTTGAAAACTACAGAAGAGTTTTAAAATGTCAACAATTATTAGTTACAGTCGAAAGTTCGAGAGAGAGGAAAATAATTTTGACAACTGAAAAAAAAAGAAAAAAAAGGAAGTTTGATGAAAGGAAAGAGGGGGAAGGAAAAGAAAGCAAAAAACGATGGAAACAACCAAACGAACAGACCAAACAATTAAAAATGAAACAAAAAAGGCAAGTGCACCATTATGAAGATGCAAATTCCTCGTTAACATCAATTCGGTGTAGCTAACCATCTATTTACAAGCTGTATTGTAGAAATTGTTAACCATAACTCTTGCATTCTGTCGGAATTTCATTTACATCTGTGATAATCAGTAGATAAATAAGTGATTCAAACCCTACCTCCATCCAGGTAAGTAGAGGTTCTTTGTCCTTATTGTCACATCCGTCATTCGACTTGTTACCTTTGGCAGCATTGTAGACAGTTGCAAGCACAACAGGTGGTTTAAAGAATGGCTCGTCATATTTGATCGTCTGTTGAATTTAGATCAAAGAATGAAATAATTATAACCTATCAAATGAGATTCTCGCAAGCGTTATTAAACTTGTAGATGTGACATTTTGCTGTCGAGTCAATTGAAACAAAGCTGATTTTATTTCAGTTGGAGTTTCAGGCCCGATAGTAAAAAACTAATAACCTCGGCTTTGTTTAATTGTCATTCAAACCAATATTTCGAGGAAAACAAAACAAAACTTGGAACCGGTTCAGTTTAAATCCTCACGACTGACACTGACTTTTTTCTTCTTTACGCTGACATACATGTAGAACCTTTATATGAACCTGATCTCCGCGAAGAACCTTCTCTTTGCTTCTTATCATATTTTTAAATATGAATAAACCCAGCCGTAAGCTCACAATAAATCATAAACATAATAAATACAAACCTTGCATAGGGCATATTTGTTTTGGGCTGAGGGCAACTCCTTTGCGGAAAATAGGATGCTCTTTGATTCTTTACCTTTCCAAGTTGAAGGATATTTCTCGTATGCCATCCAGTTCTTAACATGACAAAAATGAAATGAGTAAAAAAAAAGTAAGGTGAGAGTCTGAACCTTTTAACATTTACAGTAATTTGTCAAGATGAAATAATATTTGCAAGCTTTGTAGGTGACTACACAAGAAAATACAAAGGATGAAGGACGTAATTTGAACTGGGCATTTTTTATCTGAGGTCGAGACAGTTTAAGTCGGCAAACGGAGAGAAAAAAAGGAAAGGCATAACAAGCCAAAACAAATCTGTTCAAAGGAGGGAAAAACCTGACACTTCATAGATAAGAATTATAAACACATCGTCACTTAAGTGCCGCTCTCGCCAAGAGCGGTCCTCTCGACTTCCCGTCGGAGAAAACTTTTCTTTTATTTTTAATAACTGTTTTATTTTTTCCAAATCAGGGCTGAAAACCCCAAAGCCTCTCCAATATTTGCTTACCATGAATTAAGTAAACATTTTAAAAGCTAGAATTCTCGTTAAAATGAAAAATTCTTCAGTCCATTGTAATCACTTTCGATTCTAATTCGTTACATTAACTAATTTTGGTTCCAACGCGAAACAGGTCGTATTACAAAACGAAAAGTTTGCACAATCACGTCACGCAATCCATCAAGCCGGGTTTGTCCAATTGATTTTGATGGTCGCAGGGAAATGTCGAGTTTGTCGTTCAAAACCGTTGTGGTCCATAAGAGCGTGACATCATTAATGACGGAAACAAATTTTTAGAAAGGAGGGCGAGTTCATCGGGTTGCGTGTGCTAAATCTCGGGAGAAACTGCAGGAATTGTTTTAGAGTGTATGCGTTTTGTTTTGTAAATATAAACTCTGTGACCTATTTTAACTTGTTTTTGTGTCCTTTTAAGCAACGCGATATGTCTGTTATGACCAGAGTGCCAAAGTTTGTTCTTTAATTTTGATCTTCTGCACACTGTGCGTAGTTCATGACCTGATATTTCAACGTAAATTATCGGGAAGGCGCCTTTTGATCACTTTTGTTTACTTTGAAAGTCACGCAAACGCGCAAGCGTTACGACCGATAACGTTTACGCAACGTTTTAGGACAACTCGGCATCTATTCTCCATTCAGCTGCTATGAAAACCTAAAATCCTCAACGTAGGAGATAAACGAACGAAGTTTGAACGGTCAAAAGGAGATCTTGGTCAATTTTCAGAATCATGCAAATAATCTTTGACACGAATGCAATTGAGCAAACACATCGATTTGCGTTGTTTTTAAGAAGTTGGTGGATGGAAGCTAGAGATATACCCGCAGGTTTGAGGCAATCCGTGACCTCATTAATGTATAAACTATGCACTGATATGTTTTTTTCAGCCCGATTAACGCCTGTGTTATGAGAATTCTTTCGTACAAAGTAGTGAATTTTTGATATGCAAATTAAGGTCGCAGAGAAGGGTCTCCTCTGATCCCGCTGGTAAGAAAAATATTTCAGATGAAGTTTCCATATTTTGTCTGTGAACTAACTGAATACATCTTGTAACTTGTAGCGAGATAGAATTCTGTGAGCTACATTGTTGCAGTCGCTGCGCGCTGGACAAAATCTTTGAAATTTACACTTTTGATCGTTGTCCACAGGAGTGGTCTTGCCAAAAATCATTTTTGGCTTGTACGATGCAAAAAAAGGGAATTGGAGAACAACTAAGCTATTTTGAAACATGTGTCCTAAACCCTTTTCATGGGCAAAAAATTTTAAAAAAAGTTTTCTCCGACGGGAAATCGAGAGGACCGCTCTTAGCGAGAGCAGCACAAATTTATAAAATGCAGTTCGTTTCGAGAAATAAAATATCAAAAATAAAGTAAACTAAGAAAAAAGAGTAAATAACAGCGACATCACCAAGACACCGGAGCAAACAAACAAAATGAAGACACAAGGACTGGAGCATCTAACGAATTTGTGGCTAACCTCAAATATGAATATAAAATCAAAGTGTGACAATTATTAAAAATAGAAAAAAATAAAAAAGGCTACACGACGAAACAAAGTCCAAAAAGTGTTAAAGGCAAAACGACCACATAGAAAGAATAACGGCTCACCACTTTGAGTCCCTCATGAAGTCCATCGAATACCCTTGACTCTTGCAAACAAACTTCAAATTCGCTCGGCGAAACCTTTTCAATCCAAACCAGCATTGCGTCGTATTTCCGGCCTTTCTTGGTGTGGTGTGGAGTGACGTGAACTGTAGGAGTTGTTTTGAAGACCTGAATTCAACAAAAAAAAATTAAATGTCACTCGTCGCAAAATAGCATTATCTAAGAAAAAATGGTTTCTGGAGAATCTTCCAGGCCAAAAGATCGATGCAAAACTAAATTGACTAGAGTAAGGTAAATCAAGGGTCACTCTATTGAATCATTTATACATGAGGCACTTCGATTAGGAAAACTGCGCATAATCAAAAATCTAAAAAAAAAATTAACAACAGCAAAAGATGGCAAAGCAGACGGCTTTTTACACAAAGCCCATTTAGATTCCCAACAAACAAATTCAATTAGCTGCAGGCATCGAGATTTGAATAAAGGGGTCATATGAAACCCAGCACTTTTAACAACTTGGTCACGCAGTCTCTGAAAACTCAAACAATCTTACATTCTTAAATGCCACCCGGTTGCACTGTGACCCTGTAGTGAATTTGCTGAACAACGTTGCACCATGTTCAGCTCCTGTCTGTGGACCTTGAAATGCAAACCAGTCGATAGTGAAGTTATCTCCTGCTCCTCGGCCCCCTTCAACAACACAGGCTTTGAAACGAACATTGCTCACTTCTTCTACCCATACAAATATAGAATCGTAGACACTGGACGATCCATTTCCACGGTTCACTGATGCGAATACGCTCACTGGTGTTCCCTTCTTAAAACTTTTGCTAAATGAAGCTTGCTGGCAAAGATAATCGTCATTTGCTTGAGTGAAGTGAATTTTTCCTCTCTCGATGACTAAAATAAATTATAGAATTCAGCTTAGTTAACCCATGATGCCGTGTATGATAAATGTAAGGGTATTTGGGATACATCTTCAAGGCATACAGTCGCAATGAATAATCTGAACGTAAGAACTCAAATTATACAAGCAAATTGCCAAAGGAGCATGAGAGACAAAGGGACATGAAGGAGCCGTGACAAGTAGAATTAGCCGTTTAACTTGCGATTTATCGGCTTATGCGGTGGCGCGAGTTTTAGGAACCAATCAACCAAAGCGATGAAGTAAGACAATACAGTTCCTGTTTCCTTTCAACGTCATTAACTGACAATAAAAATCACAATTTTTGGGGTTCCAATGCGGACATAACGAGGTAGAGGTCACTTTTTCTTCTGTTTTCTCATTACTTCACTATTTCGGAAATGTTACTTCATTTTGGAGAGATAACAAAACGTGCGCTCGGAGAGGAATGATTGCCTCGCTCACAGAAATGAAGAGGAAAGCTAACGAAGAAGGAGGCGATGGTTTGCAAGATATATTCGAAATTCCTTAATATTTTATAATCTGTTTTTGCAATGAACTATTCGTTTGCTTCAACCTAATTTCACAAAGTTATTCATTCCAGGAGAGATGGTTTATTATTTTTGCGAGTATCGGTTATATATTTATTGTTCAAGATACTGGGAGTTGTGCAACCATTTAGAAAAAGATGAGTATTGATCCAAAATGTCATAAATATCAAATGAGTAAGTTTTTGTATCTGCATTACTTGTATTTGAAGCCACTGAGTGCCGTGTAAATTTGATAAAACTGAAATGTTGGGACTGTCGATTAGCCGGCAAACACCGTAAAAAAATTGATCTAATCTTCAGAAATAAAAGTTAATTTTAAAAGGAACGATTCAATTTTATCTGCTTCGACACTAGCTTCGCAACTTCCGATCCTTAATACTACTGAAGTTTTACAAGGCATAAAACTGGGCGGTGAAAGATGAAAATAAAATCAACAACATTAAAAAAACTTACCATTTCCTTCGACACCGATGAGTATAAAGAAAGTTACTAGCACCAACAATAGCTGCCTCGCAGAAGGCACCATGGCTGCAATGTATAACGTCGCGTGAACGCCACTCCTTTGGAATGGAGACTTCTTCAAAAACAAATGAATTTACGATTTGGTAAAGTGATAGCATATCTCCAATAGCAAGTGCGCGCGCAATATGGGAAGTCTTAGGATTATCTGTTTCAGCGCAATGTGGGTAAATTGCGCTTTAACGAGGTCACCAGAACAATTGAAAATAGGAATATCTACTTATTTTGATATCCAATATAAACATGAGAGGGATTCCAGCTGAGCAAAAAATTCATACGAAACACGCAAAAAAGCTGTCAAGTCTTTCCAGAGGTCTTGAAAATCATCTAACTCCGATCAAGTATTCATTCATTTCACTAAAAGTACAAGGAGACATCCCGTTTCATTTTTTTACAAAAAGAAAAGGGGGAACAACTCATATCTATTGGCGTCAAACGGGATTTCTCTCTTATTCGGAGTAAAGATGTTTTCCATTAAGGGTGGTTCTGAGATGTAGTACTAAAACCGGATCATTTTGAGTGACTCAAATTCGTGCAATTCTCCGAAAGAAAATAATCCCATTCTGCACAAAAATTCAACATCGTCGCACTGCAGGCTACTAATAGAAGGCCATTTCCTTCCACAAAAACGACTTTACTACGATACTTTCCATATTTGTAAAAAGTCTCTGCGTCATACCTTACTCCCATTTTCATATCACAGTGTATTACGCAAGTGTCTTCAAGTGCGCCTAAAAAAAAGGTTTCTGAGTTTGACCCTAACGAGGAATTTTGAATGGTGCGGTACGTCTGTACAAACCAAACAAGAAATGATCGAAATGACTGTTCCTCTCTGATGTATGCAATTGTCGCTGTTGTAGGAAAGAAGGTAAAATCCCCAAACAGCACAGTGTAAAAACTGAGAGACAAATATTGTATTTATCTCTATGTATGTGCGTTTTTTTCTGGTTCGTGACATCTCGGAAGAATAGGTAGGATTCAAACATTTGACCTTCCGATCGATACTTCGAATCTTCTACTACTGAGCTGTTATAAAATCATAACTATTAGACTATTCTAGTCGGCTAGATATTTGCTGTCGACTTGGTGCTTTTGTGCGATGGCCCGACGTAAAATGGAAGATGGCATCTTTAGTGATTGTTATGTAACAAAGGATGATAAGTGACTGATAACAGGCCGATATATCAGCCCTTAATTGAGGTCACATTCTTGATTACAACCTCATTATTGTCGGTAATTCAGACAACAAAGAAATGTAGCGCTATAAAATAAACGTTCCCCATTTTAAATTCCAACGTATATGGAACCCTTCAAATCTATCAAAAGGACGCTGTTATTAACTTTGTAGTGTCTTATTCCGGCTCGAGGTTGACGTGTTTGCCGTGGTACTGCATTCAAAAATATTAATAATTCTGCAAGTTGATAGAAAGAAGGTTCAGGCTTGTACTTAAAGCCAAGCAAGTTTAGGAACAAAGATATTCCTCATGATATACATTTCATTCGTGACTTTAGGAACCCCGTTTAATTTTTGAAATTGAAATTAATACTTCGACAGCACGGCAATAAACGAGAAAATAAATGCAAAGATGCTTGCAATACTTTGACTAGCTCGGTCTCTTACACAGGATTAGACGAAGGAAAAGTCCCACTATTTTATATGCACGGGCCAAGAGCAAATCTCATGTTTGTTTAAGTATACAAATTCTCAAAGGAATCGAAAGAATATAGGTGGAGTTGATCCGGAGTTTCATTATCGTCAATCGTTTAACGGATTTGAATCAACTGATGAAAAGCCAAAATTGAAGACTTTTTGCTGATACTACTAGAATATAAACATTTATCAGACGTGATATCAAAGTCATCTTGGATTGCTTTCAAAGATCCATTCATAATTGTTTGATATGAATGACTTACGCTCAGACGAGGTCAAGAGTCAAGAAAACGGAAAAAAGAGTAAAATTAATTAGTTTTGACAAATGCTTTTTTTTTCTTTTACTTTAGGGAATATCATAAGTGACACTTGCTCCAGTGGGTGGCGTAATCGCAAATTGAATGGGGCACGTGAGTTCGATATCCTGAAATCATGTTATACCTTTAAACAAAATTTGTATATAAAGAAGAACTAATGTATCGGGGGAGGGGATAGAAGTTCAAAGACGGAGGGAAAGGGGGAGTGGGCCCCTATACGAAATAATAGAGGGGGAAGGGAGCTTGGGCACTGAGATGATTATCAGTGCGTTCAACCAAACCGATTTATTTTGTTCACAAAAAATGTTATTCCAGAATATCCTTTCATAAAATTGTCATTTCCAATGATTGTTTTGCATGCCGCGTGGTTTGCACAATATAATCTCACTGTGGTTAAACCATGTCCGCAGAGTTGCATGAGGCTATTATTTATAACTTCAGGCCGCTTTGTTCCTCTGGTCCGACAAATTTATTCACTATATATACGTTTCTCTTTTAATATATTGTAGAATTTTATTCAATGACAGGATACTAAAGTATGAATCTCCACGTTTTTCTATGGATGTGACCGTTTCTCAATAATTCACATTTAAACCCAAAATAAGAATAGTACCATAGGAAGTTTGTAATGAAAAATAATTGATTTCGACATTCGAAATGATAGCGTTCTACTAACACTTGTTTTGTTTTGAATCTTTAAAGTCCCATAGAACAGCGATTGCAAGTATAATTAACGATGGTATATGCTCTAACCATCTACTACTCGGATTTTAAATCGTAGGTTTAACCAAAGCTTTTGCCTTCAAGAATTAAGCACAGAATTCTGTGTACAAATCGAAAGGAACTGAGATATCATTGTTTTAGTGTGTGTGTTTTATGGGAGATGTCTTCTAATTATGGCAAACAGCACTTGCATCCTCATGATGACCGCAGTTGTGATACCAACGATACCTACGGCGATACCACCCCCAGTAGTAGTAATAGTAGTAGTAGCTCCTATTCTCATACGGACAGTCCAGCAATGATTCCTCTTTACCTTCGCAGGAAATATGGTATCGATGAATAGGGCCCGAGCCTTGCCCGTAAGCCGCACCACGAGGTGCGGAGGTTGCACCCTTAAAGCCCAACTCACGGCAAACGACATTGGCATCATTCAAATTCCAGGTGTGGTCACACACGGTGCCCCATTTGCCTCCCTCGTAAATTTCAACACGGCCATAGTGGTGGGATCCTCCCGCTAACCGAACAACAGACGAACCATGGGTGCACTTCACACCAGCGTCCCGTTTATGAGTGCAGTCGTGCTTCCCCCATCCTCGATGTCTGCATTCATGGAGATAGGACTCACTTCCTGAACAAGACAAGTCGTCGAGCCATATTGGTCCGCTTCCTTCACCATGTTGAGCGCCCTTATAAACTTGTATGGCTCTTTTGTAGCCAAGCTGTTTACATATTACGTTAGCATCATTCAAGTCCCAGGCATCGTCGCAGATGGTCCCCCATTTGCCATCGTAAAAAACTTCCACTCTGCCAGTTGACCGGCTGGTGCTGTTTATGCGCACGCTTCCATCGGTAATAGCTGACAATAAAGCAAGTGATATTTTGTTCTCGGGTAACAAAGTAAAGAAAATTCAAGCATGAGTGCGTCAAAATTAAAATAAAATAATCCTTCGTAACTGTGCGTTTTATCGGTTTCTGTGTCTAACTGTTCTGGCATGGAAAATGCGAATTATTGACAACAACGTTAATAAAATTCCGCTAAAGAAATCATCATATTTACTGACTCAGTCAGCTTTAAAAACTCTCTACGGTGGCCGATTTAAATAATTAACTCGGTTTGTGAAACCAAATTATCTTGTTATACCCCACCAACGTAGCACCACAGTTTTCGTAAAAAAAACCTATTACCTTTACATAATATACTTTACGTGTGTTTCTTTCTCAAAACCACCCTACCTCGATAACGTGCGCGAAATCCTCCAAATTCCTTAGAGCCATCAGAAGTAAATTTCACGAGAAGTTCGTTGGATGTGCTTGTCAAAGATTGCTTGGGGAGAGTATTTCCAAACAGAGTACCAATTACGGGAGCAGATCGTGACAGGCCATCATACACGGTAACGATGTCGACTTTATCCTCGGTATCCAAACGTATAAATACAAGTTCAATATGTCCATTGGTGGTTATGTTCCACGTGCAATCCATTTTGCTTTTATAGGTTACTGAAACTCCAGGCTCATTTGACTCAATATATCCCATTGAATCGGACTGGACAACAGTCACATTTGCACAGGAGGGTATTACCGTGGCGTTCGGTGCTGTGAAATTTAAAACAATAAGCTTCTCTCCCATAACTCCAGTCTAAACTGCATCAAAATTCACTTTTCTTTTTAATCGTGTTTGTCGTGATTATGCAAAAAAATAATTTTAAAAAATACCGTATACGAAGTACAGTGAAAGAAAAACTGTGTAGCTGATACAACGTGTTAAACAATTTATCACTACTGAACATTGAAAATGGCCCAACACGAAGTGTAAAATGTCACTTAAAGGAAGGAGGGAAATAAACCTTAGTGCGCTCTATACTTACCGCCACAAGTCTTTCCGGTTCCAGCCAACCCTGGAAAACATCTACATTTGTAGGTGCCAGGAATATTCTCGCAGACAGCTTGGGCATCACACGTGAACGTTCCCAATCGACACTCATTCATATCTGTTTCCAGATGAGAAAGATAATAGCAAATTAGCTACAATGACTGTATAGTCCAATAGCGAGAACTTGCTCTTGCCAGTATAAATGGTGCCTGGTATTTACTCAGTTTTGTGTGTTTCAACAGAAAATGATGAATGGGGCATTTAATTTAACACCATCATTTGTCAGATCTCAGCGGTATCGAATTCTGTTTGTGGGTTGAAACATACGATTAACGAGTGTTCACCAAAGAGAAGCGTTCTGAGTTTGTTTACGAGGCTCTTAAGTGGTTAATTGTTGATTGAATTGCGAAAAAAGGAAGAAAGAAACGAATGAAACTCAGTGATATCTAAATGAATAACGTTAGAATACCCTTTTAACGAGAATTTAACCAACCTTCGCAGTTC